CCCCCCCCAAAAAAGAAAACAACAATAAACAAAACAATGCAATCAATTTTTGACCCCTCTACTTTTAGACAACACAACAAAATCTGATCTGAGAATTGAACGAGATGTCACCCACATAGTCATCGGCGGCCCCTGGGAGACTGTTTTCAGTAAACAATCTAACAACCAGCTGCTACTCTTGTTTTTGATAAACTCCACATTTAAAAAAACAAGAAATCTTCCCTAACTCGCTGAGAAACTCATTTGAAAAAAATATGCCCACCATGGCTTATTCCAAGTGAAACTATTAACAGAGATTCTCTCATGAATCTGTCTGCGGCTCACGTAAAAACACACTGTACTCTCTCTGGTCTTTGAACTTGTTTTTTTTTTTACATGCAGCCTTCAGTTTTGTTTTTCTCTACACACAGCTTCAGTTTTGTTTTTCTTTACTCATGTAATAAAACACGACGATTGCTCAGGGTAAGACTGTCACACTTCACTTTCAGAATGGCGTATAGCTTGAGTCTTACATGCAGCAGTCAACGTTCTTCTTGACATACCCTATTCGTCTGTCTTTACATACAAACATACTCAATAAAATGTGAGTTCTCAAAAGGCCCAGCCAAACTAAGACTTCTGTGAAGAATATTGTTTCAAACAACTTTCTCGACAAGAGAATAAACTCCATCTGTATAAGACACTTCCCTCCAGATTGCAGCAAACATTATCTATCATTCGTGAAGCCAGACTCCACACAATGGGCAGTTCATGCACCGACATCACACCACAAAAAAAACCTCTTCTATCTACCATGACCAGTACATTCACATACTGACTACATAGCCGCAAACTCTTCAAAACCAAATTTTAAAAAAGAGACTTGACTTGACCCATGGGTCAAGATGGTGGCCACTGGCCATGTAACCCCCCCTCCCAAACCCTTCCAGCACTTTTCTGTATTCAATCAGTTCAAAGTAGACCTGCAGCAAAAGGTCTTTTCAGTTGACAAATTATTCACTTCTGGGCTTCGTTCTCATTATCCTTCGCAAATCCAATCCTTAATGTTCATAACTTTTCTCCATCAGCGGCACATCCATGAGGAGCGATACTAGAAAACAGAACATACATGTTTCTGATGTAAAAACAAATTTCTGTACCCAGACCCGTAGAAACGTATCAGATGTTGTCCACGTGCTGGTTGGCAGCTATGTGACTAAGACATTCACAGATGTGAGAGTCAATCTCTCTCTACATGAACTCTTCACACAGCAACAAATGAAAGAGCCAATCTCTCTCTAAATGACAGCTTCACACAGCAACAAATGTGAGAGTCAATCTCTCTCTAAATGACAGCTTCACACAGCAACAACTCCTTCAGAGTTCACAACACACACAAACAGTTCACGAGGATGAGGCAAATACAAAGTGAGAGAATCAGACAACAACCTTTTGGGAGAAATTAAACGTGTATGTGAATAAAATATTTTATACGACAATTGGGGGAGGGTTATTTTTTTTTAAACCACTTTTTAATCCACAAACAATCCCCACAATGACAGGGATCAATGGTTACGGAATGAGAATGACCATATAAAAATAATTAATAAATAGAAGCCGTTCCCCCCATGGTGGAGCAATGGACTCACCTTTCCTGATGTTGTAGATAGGCCAGCTGATATAGGATATCTATCTCCAGGGGGGTGATCTGGGAGAACTCCTGGCTCTGGTACAGCAGCTCCTCTGTCATGACAATCATAATAGCAATAATGACAATCATAATAATAACAATGATGACAATAATGATGATAACCATAATAATAATGATGATTATCATAATAATAATGATGATAATCATAATAATAATAATAATGACGATGAGTATTATAATCACAATAATAAAAATGATGATGATATTCAAAATAATAATAACAATAATAGTTGGTCAGTGTCGGACAATCACCAACGCGTCTGCAGAGGAGAGTATTTCTTTAGCGAAACAGAAGAAATAAGGGTTACGATGACTTACATCTTCTGCTATGGCCAGTGAGACCAAGTATGGCAGAGAAGAGTTTGCCACATTTTGAAAATTGAAAGGCTATATTTCCACCGGCGGATGTGTACAGATTGCAGGCTTCTTTCTTAGCTTCAGCTCCTTTGTGAGGGAGATGTTACTGTGCTGAGAACAAGTGTAGAACTGTCAATATCCTTATTTTTAAAAAAAATGATCCTTTGCTATGTTTCGCTCTACTTGGTAAAACCAAAGACCACAACCGCTAAAAGTTAACATAGCTCATACTTACAGTCAGCATGCACATAGCAAAATTGTCAGTACGTAGACATCGTTTTGTTACCCACGAGTTTCGCTGTGTAAGTGTCAGTCAGTCTGTCCCGACGGGCTCACCTTTGTGCACGGCTTTGGTGGGGTCCCTCCGGGTGGCGGACATGTAGATCTTCTTGACCAGCTCGATATTGTTGAGCAGCGAGATGAACGCAGTGAAGTACGCATAGCTGATCTGTCGCTGGTGCTCCCCTCCCAACACCACCTGGTCAGTTTTGAGTAGTAAAAGTTTTACGGCACTTGCAACACAAGTACGCCATCACATAACTGCCAAAGATCTGCTGTGTTACTAGAGAGTACCATAAAAAAGAAAAGGTGGAGGAGATACGGACGATAGATATTTCATTAAAAAAGAACAAGTAAACCCACATTAGAAAACACCTGCTAACCACCCGAGCACCACCTGGTCAGTCTGAGCAAAAGTTTGACGGCACTTGCAACACAAATAGGTTATCATATAACTGCCAAAGATCTGAGGTGTTACTAGATAGTACCATAAAAAGAAAAGGAGGAGGAGAGATACAGACCCATGGACTATACTGCCGTAAGCTCACAAAAAGCCATTTTTCATTTTGGCCCCAAATTTTTGTATTTGCTAAATCGAAAGCCTGATTAGTTACCCTACTTGTGTGAAAAAATCAAATTCAAATTGTGAAGTTTTTTAAAGAAAAGAGAATTCAAATTTCGGAATGAACATTTTTAACACTTTGCCCCCCACGGGACGCCAATCGGCGACGATAAGAAACCGTCCCTTCTGCCCCAAGGGCGACGATTGGCGACGGTGTGATATAGCATGTACTGCATCTGTGTCCTCGTCAGTGGGGATAAGTGTTGCGTGCTCCGTGGGTGGAAAGTGTTAAATGATTACGTTAACAAAAAGACTCTTTTTCTCGAAACTGCTCAGAAGAAAAAAAAGCGTTTTGTCAGCTTACGTCAGTACAGGTATTTCATAAGAAAGAACAAGCAAACCCACACTATTAAACACCTGCCCACCACCCCTGCATCACCTGATGGGGGAACTCCACATTTTGTTCTGGTAAGAGTTTTATGGTGCTCCAAACTTCAATTGGTCATATGAGCGCGTGGCTGTATTTTTCCTGTGAGTCAATACACGTTCCCCCCCCCCCCTTTTTTTTAAAAAGGAAAGCGAAGCACATCATCATAATAATAATGGTCATAATATAGTGCAGGGGAAAAAGTAACCTTGGTTTTCATAAAAGATTTATGGCACTTGCAATACAATAAGGCACAGACCAACCACTCCCTCCAAACCCCCCCCCCCCCCCAGCAATCCACACATACAAACACACATACAACAGCGCACAGCCAGCTCACTGTGAGACGAAAAGAGCCGAGCACCGACTTACTGTTGTATTAGTAGATGTTTTACTGCGCTTGCAACTGCATAAGGTCATATGAGCGCCAGAAGATTAGAGGTGTTACTAGAGAGTAACAAACATAAAAAAGAAGAAGGGGAGATAAGGACGATAGAGGTTAGATAGGAAAGAAGGAGAAAACCACACCAGAGCACCCGCCAACAACCCACTGACTTACTGTGATGATGTTTTTGCGGACAAACGGTGTCAGAAGGTAACCCTTGAGGTTGATGAGAATTTCCTCAAAGTCCTTGGCCGAGATGTAGCCGTTGTTGCTTTTGTCTCGTCGTCGAAAGGCCTGCCAGGCATGCTCCTCGTGGAAATCCTGGACAGTAGGGGGAAGAGAAAGCAGTCACGTGGTAGCTTGGTTAGACTCTAGTTTGGTGTTTTACGGCACTCACAACTGCATAAGGACATATGAACATGTGTAAGACTTTTATCGCGCTCGCAACAGCATAAGGCCAATCATATGAATGAGCAAGACTCGAGTTGGTTGTTTTCACATTAGTTCACAGCATGGCTTGGTTTTATTTAAACTTTAAGACTGAAGTTAAACATTCCTGGTGAAAGTCTTACCCGCTATCAACACCTTCCAATTTTCACTTGTAAATTATTGCAAAATAATATAAATACGTCAGACCTACATCTATATAACTGTGATAATTTAAGGTGCAGGTGGCTTTGAAACTATCGGATTTTTAGATTAGTTTAGTAACCGTTTTACGGCACTTGCAAACACAATATGTGAGGCATCGTGGTGAAATCAGGCGCTCGTCAAAATAATGAAATCGAAGAAAAAGGCATTTTTCCAAGTTTGGCAATTTTTATCGAAATTTTGTTTTTTTGGCAAAGCGCCACTTATGTACATATGAAAATGCATTTCCATGTGAATTTTACTGAAAAACCTTGTTAAAAGGCACAAAATATGTAATTTTCAGTTTTCAAAGACTCTTAAGCTATTGAAGTTACCAACTTTGGCGGCCATTTTCTCATTACTTTAACCACTGAAACCAGGCTACCCCACCTTCTTCAATCGCAAATATCTCTCCTTGTATTCAAGATAGAAGGATTATTTTCCCCCCGAAAGTAAGGCAAATGAATAAGCTTTTAGAATAATGACACTGCATGCCCAAAAATAGACGAGCGCCAGAGTCCATTGCTTTGTTACACATATGGTCATATACCTGCAGAAGAGACAGCGTTTAACCAACAACACACCCTCCTCTCGCTAATAAACAAATCGACAGCTTAGTACAACACTGTACTGCGTCACTATTTTTCAAAACGGCGAAAGGCAGAGTGTTACACCAAGCAGTCGGTACAGGCGGAGTGTGTTGCTGTCAAAAGTAGCGAGCACAAACTCACGTGGATCAGCTGAGTGAACTCGGGGTAGGTCACTTTACGGGACTTGTCCTTCCCAAAGTGCAGCCGGATGAAATCGCTCTCAAAGTTGAAGGGGATTTTTGCATTCAGGGTTGTATGCTTTATGATGTCCTCAAATTCATCTGAAACACGAAAAGGATTTCATATGGGTTTTATAGGACTTGCACCTTGAAATAGATTGTGTAAGTGCTGAGGACTAGAGGTGTTGCATGCAAGTAATATTCCAAGAAAAAAAGGAGGAGATATAAGGACGATAGCTGTCTAACAGGAAAGAAGGAGCAAACCACACCAGAGTATCCTCCAACCAGCCCCTGAGAAACTTGGATCTCCTGCATATGACAGTGAAGAACCTAACCACTCCACCCAGACGCCAGATAGAGTATAGGTTTTTAGTTTTAGTAAGAATTTTACGGCACTTGCAGCAGAGTAAGGTCATAACATACATGCTGAAGAATAGAGGTGTTATGAGGGAGTAACAAACACAAAAAAAAGGACGTTAAACGTTTAATAGGAAAAAAGGATCAAATCACACCAGAGCACCCGTCAAACGGAACAGAGCTGACAACAAAAAAAACAACTGACAAGCTCAGAAAGTTCACTAACCCCTAACTTTTTTTTTCTGTCTTGTTGTTTTCCTTAAAAAAGGGAGGGAAGGTGTGTGTGCACCATCACAATGAGGAAGAGGAATACGCCACACAGGGTCACCCACCAACCACCCCCTCCACTCTACGATACAGAATGACTGGCAATAAATGCAATTTCTACTTCAATCTGTTTCCGTAAAAACATGTGACACTTATTTTGCCATCTTGCCATATTATGATAAGCTGCAGCTCAATGCATTACCTCGGAAGACTTTTCCCTCCTGAGGAATACATGCCATTGGGTCACCCACCAACCACCCTCTCCCCTACTCTTCAATACACGAGAACTTAACATACAGCAGCAAGCATCGAGACAGACGAGATAACGGAGAGACGGCTTGTGGCTTGTGCATTATCACGATCAATCCTAAGTTCCCTTTCACAAGTCCTGGCTCATCGGAAAAAAACCTCCCACACCGAGATAACAACGACCTTCTGCCCAAGGTTACAGGGGTTAGAATCTATGGGAAAAGTTGAAAGACCCAACCACGGCCTTGGTTTTTTTTTAAAAATTTTATCTGGGTGTCTGATCAAGTAGTAGGTCTTGGTTCTCTCCAAAGGTAAACTCTCAATTCACCCTTTGCCTCCGGTGCAAAAAATTTGTTGCCTAAGTATAATAACCCTGTAACCCACATTATGTCAAAAAACACTTTTTTTTTTGCTTTTTATACATGTAACGTTGCAGATTTTGTGTCAGATTTTTAGATATGTAGCTCAATAAACATCGCCGCCAGTGCAACATTCCGACTTTAATTTTTAACAAGCAATGTTAGATGAATTGACAAAGTTTTTTTCCTTCTCCTGTAAAATTTTGTTTTTGTGAGACACAGGGTTGTTATACTCGAGCGACGGTTTACAGTACAAACAGGTGTCTGTTAGTGCAGGTTCAACTGTACAAGTATATGTGAAATAAACGGGCACAAGGGGAAAATTTTTACAAGATAATGTGCGAACTGCAGCTTACGGCCAGCTGACAAAGTAACTGTCACATGTTTTTACAGCAACAGATTCAAACGAGTTACGTTCATTGTCTCAGAAACTCATAAAGTTTAGTTTGTTTAGTTTAGGTTTTTTGTATTTCTTGGGGGGGGGGGGGGAAAAATGTTTTTTTGTTACATTTTACAGAATTTGCAACACCTATTGGTCATATAAGTGGTGGAGATTAAAGTTATTACAAGATAGGACCATACAAAGTAAACAAAGGAGGAGAGATATGAAAGACAAATGTTTGATAGGAAAGAAGGAGCAAATCACACAAGAGCACCTGCCAACTACCCACACAATAGTAAGCTAATGTGGGTAACTTTCATTTCCATATCTGAACTAAAGCTAGTTTTGGTGACAACAGACCGTGTCAAAATAATGAATTCAAAGAAACGCATCTTTCCGCCTGAAAGGCAGTTTTTATTGAATATTTTTTCTCTGGCTCAACACTTTTTGTTCATTTAAAAAACACATTTCTGCATGGATTGCACAGAAAAACATTGATCAAAAGTATAAATAATTATGTAAATTTGTAATTTCCAAGAACACTAAAGCTATAGATTTCACCAAACTTTGGTAGCCATTTCCTTGCTAATTTTTCCTGTCACTTTGACCAGACGACCCCCACCTCCTTCAATTGCAAATATATCTCTACCTCAATTCAAGATGGATTGGTTTTGTATTTATCAAAAACAAGACAGTTGAACAAGGATTAAGATTATACTAATAACTTCATATATGCCTAAAAATTTAAGACAAGTTCCCGATTCCATCATGCCAGGACACACATACATTTAGTAACCAAGACTTGATCTGAATATGTGAATCAAGTCATCAAACCAAAACTATGAGAGAGTCAGGGGAGAGGGTGGTGGTGTCTCAAAGTGAAGTACATCGCTACCTCAAAATGACAAAGTTCTGTCTGACGTTTTTTGGCCATTTTGAGTTGCTAAGACTATGAGGTCAGAAACTAAATGTTCTATCTGCTCTATCAAAATCGTAAGATAATTCGGAGTCGTTACCAAGATATTGAAAGAACTGCATTCGAAAAAGCTTGACACGTGAAACTCAAAATTCTTTTCGCCAAATTTCTCAAAACTAAATACTGAGCACATAAAACTTTGCAATTCTGGTGTGGCGACCTGTTGGAATGTTAGCTTAAAGCCAATTTTTTAAAAACCCCAGCATCTTACACCAGTTTTTCCACACAGCTCTTTATGAACATTGAGCAACGTGCACACACAAAATTCATTTAGTTTCAGGAAGTTTGTTCTAAGTTTTACAGTGCTTGCAGCTGCACACAAATTCCTTACCACATGTTATGTAGCCATTGCCGTTGCGGTCGAAAATTTGAAAAGCGAGAGCGTACATGGCGTCTGGGGCACACAGGAGAGCCTCAAAACCTTGAAACTCGGAGAAGGAAATGAGTCTGAAATCAAATGGTAAAACCAAATTAGTTTTGTTTGGTAAGAGTATAATATAGCACTCTGGACTGCATAAGGTCATGTGAGTACGTGGGACTCAAGTGTTTTCACATTAGTTCCAAACAAGGCTTGGTTTTACGTTGCACATGAGGATGATTGAAGTATTTAAATATAATTAGTAAAGATTCTCAGGCTTAAAAACAGAAATTTACATGTTTAAAGTCACAGGAATTATATTTTACTGAAAAGACCAAGACCAATGATCTTTATAAAATCATTTTAACAACTAATGTAAAACACACAGAGAAACTTATCAAAACAACTACAAGCTACAAAAAAGAAAATTTCCAGTAGCAACTAATCAACTTATTTAATGTAAGCAGAGTAAGGGAGAAAGGAGAGGAAGAGAGACTGGAATGGGGACGCCGAAGGAGAGAGAGGGAGAAGAGAAGACAAAGGGAAAGAGGGGGCATACTCTCTCATACTCTCTAGTAACACCTCTTATCCTCGGCATTTATATGTTCTATTAATGTAGACTAGGGACGTTTTAAGTCGTTTTTGAACTCAGGTCATTTTGAGGATTTTTCACTTGGCTCAGTTCTATTGGAGACGCGTTGAATTCAGAGGTCTTGCCTCTTAATTAGGTAACTCAGCATAGTAGTACTGATGGGGGCGTTGAATTTGAACCTGTACACTTACTTTATTTTTTACCCTCACTAATGCTAAACTAAATTGAAACAAATCTAAAACTAAAATTAAATCTAAAGCAAACCTAAACAAAACAACAAAAAACAAAACAAAACAGCGGAGCACTGTCGACTAGAGCTGGAGTCTGATCGATTTATCGAAGGCTTTTGAGCAGGGGGGGGGGGGGGGGGGGGACTTCCAGTGAGTTGTGACTTGCGGACTAGCTTGCTGCACTGTGTCGTGACGTCACAAACTCTCGTGGCTGTGGGCTCAGTACATAATATTATTACGGAAGATTCTGATTATTTGCATCCGTCTCTGGTGCAAGGTTGTTGGGTGTTTTTTCATAGTCGGGTTAAAAAAACAGATTGCTCTATTCTATGCACTTAAAAATTAATAATGGACCGGCTGTTTTTATGATACAAAGGCCGTTTTTTTAATGTCCACGGGACAATCACTTCGCCATCGCACGCTAAAGACCTCAGTTTGATTCCCGCATGGGGAGAAATTTTTACTGAGAACCCCTGTCTTTCTGCTGGGGTGCTGTTCCCTCTCAGCCCAGACATTGGGTTGAAGTAGCCCGTCTCCTAAATGTTCTATATTATGTCATTGGGAGTGTAAAATATCTACAATACATATGACACAAAAGCTAATCAGAACGACCAAAGGAGTTTTTCATTCTAAGATAATCTAAGTCTACTTATCAGGAAGTTAAAAATAGCTTCGGCTATAGAAATCTACCCCTTGCACCAAAACAAAAAGCACAGCCTCTCCCTTCCTCCATGGTTTGGAGTTCACACAGTGAGCGGTCTGGCTGCTCGCTGCCGGCACAAGTGGCTTGCCTGGCTGTCATGGGGCACAAAAGGTGTGTGAGCTGCAAGCGGGATTTGAGGCTTGCCTGAAGCGCTGTGAGCAGGTCTCTCTCTCTTTCTGACATAGGTGGCTTCGTGGATAGCAAGCAGGGTGTGGGGAAGATGAGGGGGTCCGCCACGAGTGGCTTCGTGCATTGCAAGTAGTGTTGTGAACTTGAAGCTCAGACTAGACTCAAGTGAAACGTGCTGGTGATTTGATTTCATGATTTGACCTAGTGATTTGAGGCTTGTGACTTGAACTAGGGGCTTGCGAGCACAAGCAAGATTGCTACCGGGGTACAGCTCTACTGTCGACTTACCCATCCCTGGATGTGTCCACGCTGGAGGCGTACAGGTTGTAGGTGTACGGGTCGTACTTCTCCGGGTCCAAAAGCTGGAGGTATCTCAGAATGAGGTCGGAGTAGGTCATGTACTTCTCACCCTCCGACTCCTTGGACGCATACTGCACAAAGATAAAGATAAAGTTTGTACTTTTAGTTTAGTTTTAGTTAGAGTTTTACGGCACTTGCAACACAATAATGCCATATCAGTGTCGAAGAATAGATGTGTTACGAGAGAGTAACGTACACAAAAAAGGAGAGAGAAGGACAATAGATGTTTCATAGAAAAGAAGGAGCAAACCACACCAGAGCACACGCCAACCACCCACAAAGAGAAAGTTTGTACTTTTGATCGTGGCAAAATCTGTTCCGGACAGCCATCGATTGTCAAGGGAAAAGTGGTTGTTTTAAACAGGTCAACACCTAACAGTGTTTCATTATAATGTAAAAAAAAAAGACCAAAAACTCAAAGAGGGGTGGCCGCGAGTTTGATTCACCTTTCAACAACGGTGTGATCAGTTGATCAGTAGCCAGACTCTCTGTGTACCTGTTCTTTGTCAGATTACTGGTGTTTGTGAGGATTCTTGTACGTTGAATGGGCCAGTATGCATGAATTCAAACCTTGTGTTGTTGTTAAGCGCCAAGAGCCACCAGGCTCTTCACTATAGACAATAGAAGCGACCTTCGTCATTATCAGAAATGAAGAGGAAAGTAGTCTCAAACAAAATTTTTCGAAGTTAGCTTTGTCAACTGAGAGCATAATGGTGACATTATTTATTCATTGATGGTACAGTCCAGAAAGGACGGGTAAACTCAATATTCTCTTAACTTCAGCATGCTCACGATGTCTATATGAAAATCGTCATAGCATTTATATAATGCATGCATATCCCCAACCTACAGCATGCCCTGTGAACTTTACAACTATAATTACCCCAACAGACCCTAAAACACTCAGACACATTTTCAGCTTCCCCGGAAGCATACAGCCCAAGCTGCAAATTGCACACGTTCAAACACAGACAAGATTTTTAGGTGTCCACAGACGGGGACTCGATCCCACCTGGGTGAAGTAAGAAAAATTCCTACAACAGTAGCTTGGTGTCTTTCCCAAGGGCACAACCTCCGGCCCCTGGCGGGATTCGAACCTACAACCTTGTGGTCGCACATCCTCAAGGCCACCGATGCCACTGCAACTACCTGGGCAACAAGACCAGCCAGTGCATTTGCTCAATGTTGTCCCAGGTTCAAAGCCATCTGTCTTTTCCTCTTTTGTATTGTTTGTAATTGTATAGAAGTGCACTGAAACTAGCTGCGATAACGACGCCTTTCATTTCAATATTCATAGCTCGCTGCTGACAAAAACCCTTCTTTGTGTGACAATTCACCTGAAAAGTGCTTTGCATGAGGAAGTTTAGTATACATATTTTAAATGGGGGTGTGTGTGTGTGTGCTCACCAGGGCACGGCGAACTGAACCGAAACTGCTGCTATCTGCATTCTAACAATCACTCCAGGAAGCACGTTCCATGCTCTGGGGAGCCCACTCGCCCGTGACAGAAACAATTAGGCCAAAAACTGACTTTTAATGTCAATTCTTTGTCAAGTTTTTCTATTCCTTGGGCTTGAATGCTAATTTCAGCATGAAACTTACCACACCAAGCAAAGCATGAAGTTTTCTCTTAACACACAATGCTGAAATATGTTGGAGTATGTATGTACAGTGGAAATACGTGTGCAAGTGCGAAACAATTTGAAATCAATACTTCTGTTTAAAGGCCCTGCAGTCATGCAAATCGAGCAGGTTCGAAGGAGCCTTCCAGCCTACACAGAAGGAGGGAAAAAAGTTGTTCATTGAAACAAGATTCTTTTAAAATCGGAAGAGAGGGCACTGCACCAAATCTTCGAGAAACAGCCCGAAGCATGAAGTTTAAGGTTACAGCAATAATTTCAGATCTCCCACAGGGGGCTTTAAACTCTACACTCTACTGCCTACACAGCTGCCATAGATTAGTGGTACGCAAACAATGAGCTGAACAAAACCTGCTTATGGCAATCTTCAAATAGTTTAAAAAACAAACAACACCCCCTTAAAAAAACAAACAAACAAAAAAGCAACCAACAACCCAAAACAACAACAACAACAATAGCAACAAACAAAAGCTATTCTTTCAGGCTGAGAAGTCCCCACTGTGTCCTCTCTGTTTCCTCTGCCTTCGCATTACTTTACTTTACTTTTCTAATCCAGTGGTCATCTGGGTTCTAGCCCTTCGGCCTGCCGATATGGCAAAGAATTTACAGGTTTTTTATCAGCTGTGATTTTTCTGCCTTCGCATTAAGGAGGCTGACTACATCAATGGAAAGTCTGGAGCTGTTCTACTGCAGTATCATGTCTACCTTCCACCCCCCCCCCCCCCCCCCCCCCCCCCACCTTCCCCACTACTGCCCTACTTTTTTTTCTTTCAGTAAGGTTTTACAGCGCTCGCACAAGAGTTGATCTTCCACATCTCTTTCTTGGGTCCCCACACCTCTTCATCTTCACCCTTATAAATGTCAAACAGTTGCGTTGGACTCAACACCTACGTGAATATCTTTGTGCTGAAATAATTTTTGTACCCCCTGGTTGCAAGTTGTATGCAACAGCTGAATCAATTTTTTTGTTCGTACATCGACGGATTAATCCCATGTTCCGTAGCAAAGTTTTGACAGACCCGGGTGATACTTCACAGACAAAGGCGTCTAGAGCCGATCTAGCGTTGGCTGAATAACACAATGCCACAATGAAACAGTGAGGGGAAAGCGAGAAGCAGAGCTGTGCATGTTCCACCTAACTATTCAACATGAATGATTTTGGTGCTATTCACTGTTATTGTTATTTGAAGCGTGACAGAACATATTCAAAGGGCTGTGGATTTTAAAAAATATTTTTTATATATTTAAAAAAAAAACAGAATATGGAGTTTCATCTCACTTTCATCCAACAACATAGTAAAATTAGAGCATGCTGTTATATATATTATATATCTAAAAATCATTGAGGTAAACGCAGAAATACTTTGAACTGGATGGTCATGAGACTGAGGGATAAGTGGAGCCAATATGAGTTATAAAACATGCCTCTAAAAAGTCTTCCCTGCAGGATATTTCAATACCTTTAGCACCCCCCCCCCCCCCCGCCACATGATGCAATCCTATATTAAGCCTATTCATTTGTTATCTCAAATCCACAAATTGTATGGCTCTATGATTTTTTGTTTACGTCTGGCAGTCAGGGCTTTATTCAACATTTGGCATTTTGCATTTTCAGACGCCAGTTGCAAAGGAAAAATGTAGATTTTCAGAATGAAACCAAGCGTTGAATCTGTCGCATAAAGGTAATTTCATTCAGGCTCAATTGTGAAAGACAGAGTAACAAAACACCTTGACATCATGAGCTCCAAAAAAATTTTGATACGCCTCACTGCAGTTTTGGTTAATTTGGAAAATCTGACATAGAATTGTTCATTTCGTTGATGGCCATTAAGTTCTATCTACATGACAAAGATAGCAATGAAGACAGTGGTTATGACAAAGAGTCCATGCTGCATTGAAATTGGTTCTAATAAGACTGAACAATGAAATTACAGAAGATCCCCCCCCCACCCACTCTGAAACACTAAACAATTCAAACAGACCCCACCCCCCCAGTCAAAACCAAAGAAATGTGTACAGCAATCAGGGTTCAGTCCAAAACTAACAAACGGCTAAACGGGCTTTATGTTCTTTTAATTTCATATTTCAATTACCCACTATTGGTCACAAATCACTATAATATAATACAAATACATTCATTTTGTAACACAACCCATGATAAACTCAAAAAGAAGTTTCAATGCAGTAAACTATCAAATCTATCCACAAAGAAAGCCCTTCAAACTCACCTTGTCAAATACCACCTGGAGGTCATCACTTTCAGCTCTCTTGATCAGTTCCATTGCCTGAAAAACAACAACCCTAGATATATATCAGATAAAAAAAAACATTACACTGTGGTGCACAAAGGGGAAAAAATACTTACAAAGAATGAGTTGGAATGCATTGACTACAGTATATATGTCCAGTACCTGTAACCTGAAGAGATTCAAGGAGCCAATAATTAGAAAAGTCTCTACTACTTATTAATTAGATTTTCTTTTCTATCACACCACTATTATGTACGTTACAGTCACAACATGAGAACCAACCCAAATCTCGCAACAATTCAAGGGACGCACAATTACAAGCTATCATCATCATCCAGTGTCAGATCAGTGTTCTCCATTCATTCCTTTGCTCGGATGCTTTAAAAAAAAGCTATGTCTCCCTGATCTTTCCCTGTTACCCATTTGTTTAGGTTCCATAAGAAGGTTGCTCTGGACCTACCCCTTCCTCGTTTGTTTTCAATTTCTCCAGTGAGAGTTAGAGATTCAAGACCCTTACGTCTAATAAGGTGTCCCAAAAACTGCATTTGTCGTTTTCTGATTGTTCTTAACAGGGAGCGTCCCACGTGGGCTATAAAAATGTAAATAAACTATGATCTTGCAGAATGATATACAAAAATTAATCTTTCACTTTCTATGATAAAATTATGTTTGCTTGAATAATTCAGATTGAGTAAGAACTTTCTAAAGTAATAATAATAATGTAAGATATTTTGCTCGCACCTACACTAGAATGCACACGGCTCTGGGAGAATTATAACATTATCCAAGTACAAAAAAGAGCTGAGAAAAAAAATTAATGAGAAATGGCAAACACATGCACACTTGCATATATATATATTCATTTCATGCACAAGACTGTCTGTCCGAAACATTCACTTAACAGACTAAAGGTACAGTAATGATAGTAATGTGTATCACCACCCCCCATTCTCTTTTTCAAAACGGAATTCAATCTTATTCTTAGGAGTCGGAGTGTTTCACTTTTCATCTCCAGTAAAAAGTCACCATTTTTTAATAATGATCATTACCAGGTAAAAGTAATAGTAAGTGTATTGGGATTAACGCCCCTATCAACACTATCCGTTATTCAAAATCTGGGACCTGCAAATTTTAATATCCCTCTCCAATAGAGACAGAGCCAAATGGGTTGACAGCCTTGAAAACACAAAATGACCCAATTTCAATAATGAATGCCTTGTCTGGGAATCAAACCAGTACCATCTGCTCCATAGACAAGCATGATACCAACTAAGGTGTATCTTTCACTGTCTATAGCCCTGTACTCATTCCCACCTGGACATCTCTATATATATAACAGGGATTTTTTTCCTCATTATAATAAACACTTCTGACTCCTATCGTTTTACTCAAAATTTTTAAAGGAAGAGGCTAGCTGTACTTAATGACGGCTAGACTGCTAGGCTAGTAGTACATAAAATTATGGTGAATAGACAGCTAGGCTAGTCATACTTAAAGACGGCTAGACTGGCATCATCAAAGCCTTTCATCCCTGGCACGGTATAGGCTACACATACAAGCTCCTTCCATTTTCTCTGTCCTGGGCTATCCCTTCCAAGCTCGTTCCAAGTGAGCTTCATCTCTCTCTGTCCCTTTCCACACATCTCCTCCATGTTTCATGTGGCCTACCCCTGCCTCATGCTCCCTGTGGTTTCTACTGCAGTTACTGTCTTGTGATGTCTTTGCTGAGCTTTCTTAAGGTATGTCCCATCCATCGCCACTTTCTTAGTCCTATTTCTACTTCTATCTTTTGTCCTGTCCTTTCCCGCAGCTCTTCATTTCTTGCTCTATCCTGCCACTTAATTAGAGTTCTTAGGATACTCCTCATACATCTCTGTTGATGGAAGTCTGGACTTTATTCAGTACTGTCTTTGATATCTTCCAAGTTTCACAGCCGTAGAGGAGCACAGACTCCACATTGAAGTTAAAGAGTCGAATCTTGGTGCGCAGTGAGATGTTGCTTGCTTTCTAGACTTTTGATAATTGATTGAAATTGAATGCTGACCGTGACTTGGCAGTTCTTGCTTTTACATTTGCCTCGGTTCCACCATTACCATTGATGAAACTTCCAAGGTAGGTAAAAGAGTTGGACACTTCTTCCATGGGAGTGGGAAGTGTCTTCCACTGTCACAGCAGTGCTTGAAACTTTTCCTAGCTTCACTCTATTTTCGACTTGCCCAGAAGTATACGAAGGCCAACACTCCTTGATAGGTAGTTGAGTTCCTTGGTCTTTTCTTGTATCTGAGCATGTGAGAGAGAGCAGTGCGAGGTCATCGGCGAAGTCCAATTTGTCCAGCCAGCTGCTGCCAAGCGATCCACTGTATTCCACTGCACTTGCCTCTGGTGGCTTCTTTCATGACCCAGTCAATTGCCAGTATGAAGAGAAAAGGTGAGAGCAAGCATCCTTGTTGCACTCCTGTCTGTACCAGGAATGGTTTCGAGAGTCATCCTTCGTGGAAGACTTGGCAGTTTGTTCCATCATAAGTGGCCTTCACAAAACAGGCAGGATAGTCGTACTTAATAATGATGGCTAGACTGACAAAAAGCAAAAAATACTGAATTGTACTTAATGACGGCAAGACTGCTAGGCTAGCCGTACTTAATAATGATGGCTAGACTGACAAAAGGCAAAAAATACTGAATTGTACTTAATGACGGCAAGACTGCTAGGCTAGCCGTACTTAATAATGATGGCTAGACTGACAAAAGGCAAAAAATACTGAATTGTAAATAAAATTCTAGTTTGCAATGCCTAAAGTATTTGCTTACTTTATTAGAGGATGAAACTATTTAATACTCTATGTATTTCATCAGTAACTTTATAAGCAAAACTGCCTTTATTACTGTTAGTACATTTATTGTCAGTGTGGCTCAAATTTGTATTGCCTGTAGGTTTTCAGTCACCCATGGTTCTGTTTGATGTTCTATGAAAATCGTCACTTACTTCCTACTGAAACCTTTCCTGGCAGACAGGCGCTTCGAGGGATTGGCTAGTCATGATAGAGAAAAATATGAGAGTCAGCGAGAGGCACTCGGCTGACAGAGTGTGGGCCGCTTAAACAATAGTCTACTCTACCCTCCCCTTTTTTCCTCACCCTGGCCAGACACAGAGTTCTATAAATAGCATTTTACAGTTTTCCCCACCTACCCACATGCAGTCTTCTGAGATTTGCGACCAAGAAGGTTTGATTATGACCAGGAATTGTGTGCTATGTTCAGTATATGTTTAAGCACACTGTTGTATCTGATTCTAGACTTCATCTGCACGGGGCAGCGTCATGTCATTAGTACGTGTATCAATTAATTCTTCAGACCATCTTAATTAATTGTAGCCTATTTAAACTTTTCAACATTATTAAATGTAGAGATATACGTAAATGTTTTTGGGGCTCAGTATGTAATTGGTGCATGTGTGTGTGTGTGTGTGTGTGTAGTGAGGTATAGCGAAGATGTAAGTATAAACAACAACAGAGAGTGTGTAGATTTTTTTCTTGGGGGGGGGGGGGAATAAAGGGGAGGTGGTGGGAAAATGGAATCGATGTGTTAGGCCAGCCGGAGAGTTCTACAAACCACGAGCTGCCCCTAACTACTACAATGAATGACATTGTTCAATGGTGATTCTTCCAACTCTTGAGTCTGAGCGACAGATCCAGCAATGCTATTTTTTTTGGGTAGCGATATTTCGACGGCATGCCATCTCAAAATCGTAGTTGATATTTCCATGGCATGCTGTCTGAACATTGGAAGTGATACCTATACATGCCGTCTTGAGTCTAATTTCTAAAGATCGGAATTAATATTTCGATGGCATAGAGGCTCTGCTTCAAGTGTATCAATGCAAGAATTGTGTTTGTTTTCCAGGCAACGAGTCGGGTGATCATACCTACCCGACCCGATCCCATCCGTAAATGGGCTCCCGACTGTTGAAAAAAAACAACCCATTCTTCTCTCCATTTTGCTTCCACAAAATAAATTGTGCATCTCTCACTCTCGTTACAATCACACAAAACATTTCATCATTGTCCATAATGCTCAAAATGATAGCAAAGGATAAACATTGTTAAAACTAAACATATAGATCTAGTACAGGTATACATCTTCTCTATAATAATGCGTATGGAAGAGATTATAGTCTTAATTATAAATAGTCCGGATGTTCTGATTGGCAGAATTTATGTGCAGTGGAATTATCACTTCCGATTTTTCGACGGCCTGCCGTATAAATATCCACTTCCATTTTTTTAACTTTCCCTCCCGTCTCACACTTAGCTACCAATTGTCCATTTTCTACTAAATATTGATGCGCTGAACACGAATATCAACTTCACAGTTTTTGAAATATTTGTCTGACTCAATCGAGACAGACGTGCTTTGGGACTAATCGGGGGGGCTTGCCCCCCTGGGAAAACAGAAAAACTGAGGGGTTCTAGGGGGCATGCTCCAATGTTTTAATCCATAATTTGATATTTTACAGTTAGAATTCTATTAGATCTATATTAGATCTTATCTAGATCTAGATCTAGATCTAGATCTAGATTCTAGATCTGTTCTAGATTCTAGATTTGAAATTTTCTTGAAAATAATTGATTTGCAACAGAACAGTTTTATTATTTTGTATACCTTAGATCTATGTGTGTGATCTGCAGCAAACAAACAGTACTTCTACAGTTTGACCCCCGAAGCAGTGCATCTGAGTGCGGAAGTGAAAGTAAAAATTTACCGATCCAACTTCCAAGGACATTCATCAATTCATTTGCTGAATGTTGAATGAAGAGCCTTGAAAAACAGTGGTAGGGAAGAAACGATTTCCGCTCCACCAGACAAATTCCTATCCAGACTGGATGGAGATCCAAACCTAAACTCCAAGGACAGAGAGATACATTATGCTAGATCCAGAATTTGTTTCAGTGTTACCCGAAATTCTATACACCACTCGTATTACTCGTCTATTCATATAAATAAGAGCTATAGTTCACTCTCCTCGGCTTACACTGTTGTTACTGTCAGTGTCTAGTAAATTACTCTATCATTATCAATACTGACACTGACCTTTTTAGGAGACTCGCAATGCGCTGTTGTTGGCCTGAATGGCCAGATTCTCGAGATAATGTCCATTTTTGATCCCTGAAAAACATTTGAAGACATTTTAAACGGGTTTCTGGAATAACTCAAGACACAGTGGAAAGTAGAACCAAAGTTATAACGACACGAATGGTTGAGAAAATGCTCACCGTCCTGTCTACCGCCATGTTTCACCTCTGAGGTGAAGGTTAAATGTCACGCATCAAAACTACGTTCATTGGTTAGAATACTCCTAGCTGCGTGGACGTTCACCTTGACCTTTCTTGATCTGGACTAACTCTCTTTTCCATTAGCAAAGAGTGCTGTAAGGGACACAATCCATAAGATTTCTTCTTCACTTTTTTTTTTGAACTGCTAGTAACTATATTAGATCTACGTCTACTTTGTTTTTTTCTTTCACTTTCACTTTTCACCACAGAATTCTACACTCATAGAAGCGGAACTCCCTCTTCGCGATCGCCGATTCGCTGTGAGGAATTGAAACTAAAACATGGCGGCCGGTTGAGGGCACCTTTGGCTGCGCCGCACAGCGAGGCTTCGCGTTGCTATGCACGCTGATGCTAGTGGTAGGGCTTGGAAGACACCTTACATCAGTATTTTAAAACTTTCTTCGAAGAGGAAATATAGTGAAATAGTCTAGTACATTTTTATTGCGAACAATATGTCATAATTGGCAATGTTACAATGTTTTTGTATTTGTATTGTTGGTTTGTTGTTGTTTTTTATATGATGGGATGGGATCTAGAACTAGATCTAGAAATCTAGATAGATCTAGATCTCTAGATATCTAGATCTACTAAAGATTTTCACAATCACAATACACTTGATAATAACACTAATTATGAACATTAATTCTGTTGGCAAAATATCTAGATATAGTCTTGATTAGTACTAGATCTAGATCTACGATAAGGGGATGCTGACAGTAACATGCTCACTACAATAATATTGTCATTAAACTTAGGGCCATCCAAAGCAAGCAAAAAAGAATAATATAAGCCTTTTCTCCAATTTACTAGATTCTAGAAAGAGATAAATAAATTGAGCTTATATTGAGGAAATGTATTATTTCTCACTTTAAGAATTCATCTCTGTGTTTGCATCAGTAGTGTGTACAACAACATGCTTTGTTTAATTAAAGCATGTGCTAGTCTAACAAATACAAGAGTAGAGATTAGAGAATGTGTCGGTTGCACATAAAATACATAGGCCTATTGTACATGCTGCCAAAAACACAAAAATGCAGAAAAGGCCTCAAAATATTGGTTTACACATAAAAGCCAATATATAATGCAAAACAAAGTAAACAAGAGTGGAACTGGCATATGTTTCCTGAATATATGTTCAAAGTCATTTTCTGTGTGTTGGGAGTGTGATTTCTAATGCATGAATGATAGGCTCATTTAGATGTAATAATGAAGAAACTTGTGTCTACAGTCACAACAGAAAGAGTTCCATGGTGAGTGATCACTGGTCAAGGATTTCAGAGCTGTGTGCATTTTGAGAAAAATGTATCCCCATACACTGGATCACATGTCGAGGGGATGGGCTTGTCCCCCTGTAATCCCCGCACACAGTAACCAAACACATATTTTTGAACACGAATAAGAAAAAATAAGTGGTCTCTTGTTACGGATCAAATTGAAGTCCTGTTTCAATTTGATTAATTGATAAAAGTGTGCATCACAATGCATTGGCTACCCCTGCCCTATAGGCCTATGCTATTTAATAAATACATTCATCAGACCTGGAATCTTTAATCCCCGCACACAGTAAACAAACACACATTTTTGAACACGTATAAGAAAAAATAAGTGTTGTCTTGTTACGGATCAAATCGAAGTCCTGTTACAATTCAATTAATTGATAAAAGCGTGTATCGCAAGGCATCGGCTAATCCAGCACTATTACGCTATTTTATAAATACATTCGTCAGATCTGGAATCTTTAATTTTTAATCTCCGCACACAGTAAACAAACACACATTTTTGAATACGTATAAGAAAAAATAAGTGTTGTCTTGTTACGGATCAAATCGAAGTCCTGTTACAATTCAATTAATTGATAAAAGCGTGTATCGCAAGGCATCGGCTAATCCAGCACTATTACGCTATTTTATAAATACATTCGTCAGATCTGGAATCTTTAATTTTTAATCTCCGCACACAGTAAACAAACACACATTTTTGAATACGTATAAAAGAAAAAATAAGTGTTCTCTTGTTACGGATCAAATCGAAGTCCTGTTACAATTCAATTAATTGATAAAAGCGTGTATCGCAAGGCATCGGCTAATCCAGCACTATTACGCTATTTTATAAATACATTCGTCAGATCTGGAATCTTTAATCTTTAATTTTTAATCCCCGCACACAATAAACAAACACACATTCATGAACACGTATAAAAAATAAGTGGTCTCTTGTTACGGATCAAATTGAAGTCTAGTTACAATTCAATAATTGATAATAGCGCGCATTGCAATGCATCGGCTAACTCAGCATTATACGCTATTTAATAATACATTCGTCAGATTTGGAATCTTAAATTATAATCATAATTATATGAGCCCGCGCGTGGAAAGTGAAAGTGAAAGGAATTGAAAATGCTTTCAAAAACAATTATGAAAGTAACATAATTAAAGTAGGACTACATGTGCTTATAAAGGCCCAAAAAGGTGTATGGATGCGGAAATTAATGTTTCGGATGAAAATAATACGCTATCTCTACTACTGTAGCATGCGGTCAAAAATTTGATGCGCAACTTATCAAATATCTAGGCTACTGAACTATCGAACACCTAGATCTAGATTCTCCTACTTTTACACAATGACTTAGATCTATATCAATTCGTCTTAACCGATGAGTATTTTTTTCAAACATTTGTACACATCTATAGGTTCTATATTATTCTAGAAATTTCTTTAAAGAAAATTCTTTAATAAATACTAGCCAATATAAAAAAAAAATCCCAGTCAATGGTTTCTACAGATTTTTAAAAGGTTTATATAGATTCTAGATCTAGCTGGAGCTAAATCTCTTTTAAAAGCAAGTCCGTCCTTTTTTCTACTTCTGCTGGCGACATAAAGTTAATTATTGAACCCATGTTTTGAGAACAGAACATTAATTAGATCTAGTGAAAAAATATGTTCAGTGTAAAACAAATTTCTTGTAACAAGTTGTGCTACTAAAAAATTACGTAGGCCATATGCGTATGCAAAATGTGTGTGGGAAGCTAGAGGTGCTGTGAACAATCCCATCCGTGTTACGAATTTTTTCACAGTTCTGTAGATCTTATATTTATAAACTCTCTATGTCTGCTGTTTCTGTTGTTGCACCCAAAAACACAACAATTTAAAACCTTAATTCCAATCTCTAGTTGCACAGTGAATTCTGTAACTCAAAATTACAAACTGGACAGTAAATGTTCCACTTTTCACTCGTTTGTAAAAGCCGCTCTTGCTGTAAAAGCTATAGGGTTACTTCCGAAAACGATAAATCGTGCCCTCAAGACGCCATTGTTTTCGGTCTTCAATTCGTCACAGGTCACGTGGTACAGTTCCCGTTCTATTGGCAGAGCTGGTAGTAAGGGAGTACAAGTACTCCGGTACTTGTACTTACGTTACAATTTTCGGTACTTTTACTGTACTCCGGTACATTTTTTAAACCAGTACTTTTACTGTACTCCGATACTTTTTATAAAAGTACTTTTGAGTATTTTTAAAGTACATTTTGAGTACTTTGGTAGCTTAATGAAAGGGTCAGTGCAGGCATTTCTGATCATAATTTACGGAACAAAAACCCGATCAACCGCCAAGAGTTAAAAGTTGAGATCAAAGAACGGCCCGTCGCCTCAAAGATCTGCCACTATCGTGAATGTGATCACAAGCGTTGTAAAACTCCTTGAAACGGTACAGTGTTTGCTCCAGACGGGATCACACCAAGGTGTGAACTGACCGATGCGTTTCTTTTCCCCAAACATCGCACTCGCATCTGACCTCACCACCTAAACTTACATCACTCCCTGGGTGGGTAGGGCCTACAAGGTCCCTCCAGGCGGGATCACATCAAACTGTGAACTCTTCCCTGACCATTGAAAGCAGTTTTTCTCTATTTCCGAATTTGCGAGACAACCTGAATTTTAATTGGTGTGGTCACAACGTAATGGTGCGTAACGACAAAGGAGGTTGGGGGGGGGGGGGGGGGGGGGACTCAATCAGAGATGGAAAGCTAAAATTGTTGGACAGGTAAAGGGGAGGGGCAACTGGATAAACGTAGATAAAGATTTCAAGACTCACGATAATGAGTGTGTATATAATAATATTATTTATGGCATGCCTCATGCCACTGTGATTGGTCATCAAGGTTGACCACTCTTTGCTTGCCATATGTCATAAATCCGCCCAGGGGTCACGTCAGTTCATGGGTCACTGTAGATTCTTCCTTGGCTTCGTTGGCTAAGATCCCATATTTTCCTTGCTTCCGAGCACTGGGATCTTAGGTGGAGACCTACTGCAGTAGAGAATCTTTGGTTACACTGCACTTACTAGACTCTAGGAAACTATTGTATTTTGGTTTGCCGTTGGCGCCGTGGACTACACAGTGTGACCAAAACCTGTCAGACCACTATAATCAATTGAAGCTGAAACTGTGTTCTCAATGTGTATCTAACAATTTTTAGGCTTCCTAAATTTCTTTTAAACTTTTATTTGGCGGTTTTTGCTTAAGGCTACATTGATTCCTTGAGGATTTGTTAATGAAGAATTCAATGCACTTTTCCATTTCTATGCGGGCCATTTTCATCAATTTTATGTTTTCTTAAGAGCAACTTTGTATCTACATTTTTCAATTTGGATACTCTTTCTGTAGAACTATCCGACCTCTAGGACTGACTTACATAATTTGATCACATTGTCTTGCTCAAACAAGTTCTATTCGTAATATCACTTACCCACTAGTTGCGTCTGTTCGTTTGGGTTGTTTTTTGTTCAACTTCAAGGACCATTTCCACCGTTCAGTGCGTACATTGTATATTCAAATCCTTTGTATACTGTTTACATTTTTAGTAATAAATAGCCTAATTTGTCAAATATACTGGATAAGTTATAAAATATGATGTTTTGCATAAGCGCTGAAGTGTTTTAGCATATTAGCAGAAAGTACTCAAAATGTACTCATAAGTACTTTTTAAAAAAGTACTTGTACTCAAGTACATTTTATAGGAAAGTACTTT